ATGTTAAATGTATTCTGAACTAATCCTAAACAATTTCTCAGTCAAAGGAAGTAAGACTTGCTGAAGAGACTTACCTACGTCGATCCCTTGGAGCAGAGGGTGGTTGGGCAGGAGGGGAAATCTGACGCCGTTCTGCTGGGGAGTAGCTCAGAGAGCGGGAATCTCTCAACGAATCAATTGGTTTTCTAGGGCTGCGTGACCTTGCGATAGAAAGAGCCAGTGGTTTTTAAAAATGGTCAGAAATGGAAAAAGACACTAACTGGAGAAATGGATTGAAGATGAAGGATTGGCAGAGATAGCAAATGTAATTGCATTAATTAGGGGAAAGAATATAAATAATTTGTGTCCGCCTGGAACCTTTTTGGGACTTTATACTCAAGAGAAAAAAAATTAAAATTTCATTTTAGATTTTGACAATTAAGTAGTTCACTATTAATAGAAACAGTAAAAAAGTTGATATTATAATTGTATTATGTATCTCACTGTAATGAAAAAAATCTGGGAGTCACTGCTTTTTATTTCTTCCTTTTCTTTTACTTTCACTTTATCTATCTTTTCTTTTTCCCTTCCTCCTTTTTTCTGTTTTTATTTGTATTTTATATTAATATTTTTTAATTAAAATATTGTAAATATGAGAAACACTACTCTAAAAAAAAGAGGACCATCAAAAACAGTATAAAGAATTTTCCCTCTGTGTCCATAGGAGAACATGGCAAAAGAAGATACTGTAATGAAAATACTATCAGTTATAAGCTGCAACATTCTTAGCAAATATTTTTAAAGTAATATTTTGCAATTTTTTAAAAGTACTTTGAGGTACAGCCAACCATGTGCAGTCCTATTGTAACTGATACACCTCTACCCAAAATAGCTAGTGCCACAAATCTTTCACAGCTCTTTTAGCATTTGGCAGTCTTCTTGGACTATTTCCCCAAGATCTCATGGCATTTGTACTAAGCATGTTATGCCAGAAGCCATTCTAAACATTCAGCAAACAGGACAAACTATCTTCTTAGGGTGCCAAGTCAAGGAAGGGAAGGGAAGATCTAGTTCACCTCCAAACTTCAACAACACTGTCAATAAGGAATCGAACTCTGAGCCTCAGGTGCAAAGGATTCATTAGCAGAATACTTACTTTCTCTTCTCTGGAGATGGTTTCTTCTTCAGGGGGCCCTTCACCACTGCCTGGAGTCCTGTTTTAGGCAATGGCGTGGAGGAGGACGAAGATGATGAAGAGGAGGAAGAGGAGGAAGAGGAAGAGGCTGAAGAAGATGAGGACGAAGAAGAGGAAGAGCTGCTGCTTGTACTGCTTGAGCTTTGAGAACGGCACTTACGTTTGCCTATTTCTAGAGGTTGCTCATCACTTTTTGTCTCTTTCAGCACTGGGCTTGGTGGCCTTTACAAGGAAAGTAAAGGGAAGAGGGTATAATTAAAGACTGGGTGGCGGCAACTGAGGAAAGTAGATTCTGCCAGGTTAATTAAAGAAACTCACATTTCTGAATGGGCACAGAAACTTCCAGCTCATATTGTTTATGGTAAAAGTCCAGGGAAACAACTGATTTGAATCTTTTAAAAGTTTTTCTTAGCAACATATTCAGCCTTTTATCAGTCACAAAATAGTTATAAAAGGAAACCTTATGCGTCATAAAATGACAGCTTTGATTAGAATAAGCAGTGGAAAATGCCACAAAGAAAAGTAACATTGTTACTTCTTACCACACTAACCCGCCATATTTTTTATTTTTTTCCTTACATATATATAGGTACTTCAAACCAAGACTCTCATTGTAGCCACCTTTACATATATGTTCCTGAGGATTATGAGAAGTATAGAGACATTACTGGAAATAAAGTAAAATTGAAACTGATAACATTTTGTAACACACTACTTTCTTTTTCTTTAATTAAAAAAAATCTATCATGCTAGGAACTCAGAAGCTTTCAACTGATAAAGACTACTGCTACTTCATGGAGACTCATTTCCAAGGAAGCAGAGATGAGTCACTTGTATTAACAGATCCAGAATTTAGGCTACTCTTGCAAACAAAAAGTAATCATGACTAAACAGCTTTCCAAGCAGCCAAGGATTCAAAATAGAAGAATGTTTTAATGACAGGTTCTATCAAGCTCTCTTGCTATCCCATTAATTCTCTAGCCATTTCCTTGCTCTGCTATTCCAAGTCTTCAAAAAAACCCAACCCAACCCTAATTCTCCACACTATTATCTTGAAAGCAGAATTATAAAAGTTACAAAAGCCAAGACTGCATTTAGATTCTGTTAAATATATATTTTGCAAAGAGTATCATCCATTTTTTGCAGGCATACTCTGATGCAGTACAACTCTACAAAACCTGATATAGATAATACTGAGCAAAATTAGATTCTCTAAGAATGTACAGTACAGTATCTATTAGTCATACCCAGTAAAATAAGCAAACGCGGCCTCTGGTGGTCAAAGGCCATCATTACAATCTTTCAAAAGTATGACCAATGAAGAAGCATTTCTGAAAGGTCTACTCTACACAGTATCAAGTCTACACACTACATATTGAACAGTCACTTGGTTGATACGGGCAGCTATAAAAAATTGAAGAAAAAACCAAACACATGAAGAGATGAATGAAAACTTACGTTTCAATTGGCAGTTATTAATATGAGAACCGAGGAAAATAGATGCTGGAAGGTATACACAGCGACCAGGCTCAGTAGTACAGTCAGCTGCATGGACACTGGCAAGTTTTGGATGTCCCCATGTACGGAGTGTCAAGTGGCTATCCCTCATACCAGACTAGCCATGTTCCTCATCTGGCTCCTATTCTCTGAAATCATCTATCACCAGAAATTGTCTTAGACTCAAGAGCGACTTTGTTGCTCCTTGAG